GTGGAGGCGGTCCTCTATCTCAGTCAAGGAGGTGGAGAAGAGGTCATGGGTGAGCGCAAAGAGGTGACGGGCGAGTAGCACGTCGCGGGCAGGTGCAAGGCGGTCAAGGAGGCGGGTGACGAGGAAGTAAACAGTGGCGTAGAGGGGGCGTGGGACTGCAGCTAGCTGGGTCTCATTATAGGCTGCACGCCAGCGGGCGTCAACGGAACGCAGGTGCTCGACTAGATCTGCTACAGTGGTGAAATAGGCCAAGTCGGGGAAGAAGAAGGGGAGGAGGAGGCAACCATGAGTGGCAAACAACGAGGTAGAGTGCCTAGCAAAAATGGCATTCCAGAGGGTGCAGGCCGACGCAGCACACACAAAATGGGAGTGCTCCTCAATCGGCAAGCACCTGAGGATGACGGCACGGGCAGTGGCGTCACGGGAAGCCTAGTTAGAGTAGGTGGTGTGAGCAGCAGCGTGCTCAGCCTGCTGCGCTGACGTTGCATCAGTAACGAGAGCTGGAAAAGCACCATCTCCTGCGAGTCAGCAAAACCGCCGACCCTCACCATCCAAGCGCAGAACGAAGAGAGTGGAGGTCGCCATACTTGTAGCTAGCGGCTGACGGCAGACGGTCAACTGCCGCGAACTGATAGTGGCAGCCAGGGGAGTAGCAGTGGCAGTGACGGCAGCAAAGGCGCCGGCGGTAGTAGCGGCAGCTCTGGCAGTGGTGGCCGCAGTGGCAGCAGCGGCAGTGGCGGCTGCAAAGGGAGCGGCGAGGATTGCGACAGCTGCGGCAGGGGCGGTTGCCGTGGCAGTGGCGGCAGCGGCCTTGGCGGCAGTGGCGACAGCAGCGGCAGTGAAGGCAGTGGTGGTTACAGTGGCAGTGGCGGCAGCAGCAGGTGCAAAGGCAGTGGCGGCTGCAGCGGCAGTGACGGCTGTTGCGGCAGTGGCGGCTGCAGCGGCAGTGGCGGCAGCAGCGGCAGTAGTGGCAGTGGCTCCTGCGGCAGTAGTAGCGGCTGCAAAGGCAGTGGCGGCTGCAGCGGCAGTGGCGGCAGCGGTGGCAGTAGTGGCTGCAAAGGCATTGGCAGCTGCAGCGCCAGCGGCAGTAGTGGCGGCTGCAGTAGCAGCGGCGGCAGTGGGCGGGTGCGAATGGTAGCGGGTGGCAGCTGGCAGCAGCGGCTGTAGCGGCAGTAGGAGGCAGCGAGCTGCAGCAAGAACGGCTAGTTGGCAGCTGCTGGGCGGCGACGTCGAGCTGGTTGGCGGTGGCAGCTGGGCGGCTGCTGGCTGGCTAGCAGGCGGCGGGCAGGCGGCTTCTGATCGGCGGCAGTGAGCCAACAGTGGCAGCGAGCCCGCGACGAGCTGGCTAGCGGCGGCGGCTGGGCAGCTGCTGGCTGGCTAGCAGGTGGCGGGCAGGCGGCTGCTGAGTGGCGGTTGCGTGCCTGCTGGCTAGCTAGCAGGCGACGGGCAGGCGGCTGCTGTGCGGCGGCGGTGAGCCAACGACGAGCTAGCTAGCGGTGGCGGCTGGCTGGCTGCTTGCTGGCTAGCAAGCGGAGGGCAGGCGGCTGCTGAGTGGCGGCGGCGGCGCAACTGCTGGATGGCTAGCAGGCGGCGAGCAGGCGGCTGCTGAGCTGCGGCAGCGAACCAGCGGCGAGCTACTGTAACTAGTGGCGGCGGCAGCGAGCTGGCGGCTAGCTGGCTGGCGATTGCTATCGAGCAGTCGCTGGCGAGGCACGCGAGGGGCGAGCAGGCGCTGGTGGCGGCCAGCAGGCCCAGAACGGGGGGCTAAGGGCGGGCGGGTAGGTTGGCACGGCTAGCGCTGGCGGCTGGTGGTTGATGGCGTTGGCTGTTGAGGGCAACTCGGTGAGCAGGGGAGGGCGGGGAGGCAATTAGTGACGAGGCGCGAGGCTAGGGGCGAAGCGCGCTAGGCTAGGATGAGGCGCGTGTGTTAGGGCGGAAGCATGTGGAGGATCCTACACATAGCTCTAGATGTCATGTTAGAATAACGGGAAAAGTGTGACTAGGAAGAGGGGAGGGGAGATACAAGTACAGATAATTGTCCCCTCTAAGAGCTGATTTAACTAGGCTATAACAAATATATGTAGCCTAACTATATATGAGTATATAAAAATATATGTTTGTTGACAGTCTTGTCCTCGATGTTGCCATACTCGAGTGTTGCATAATTCAAGATAATCCATAAATGCTGAGGTCCAGGGTTCCTCATTTCCAATAATAAGTATTTTTAGAAGGTTGATGGGAATTGGAATTAGGCCCAAACAGCGAGTGCCGAATATTGGTAGTAACGAGGAAAACAATACAATGAGGCAATATCAAAACAACCAGAACCTATAATGTAGATAGGCCTGGAGCACACGGTCGAGGCTCGGCAGAGCTGAGACGTGTGGCTGCAAATCAGTGCTGAGGGCGCGGTACAAGTAGAGAAGATTACCGATCGTAGGTGTACATCGATCATGCACGCCGAGCCTCATGCTTGACCACAGACTCAGTTTGCAGGCACCAATGTCACGGTCTTCAAGCTTGGTTGGGCCGCAAGTACCAACCGCACCTCCGCCCGAACCTGCGATCACGACAAAAACCCGAGTTGCAAATTCGCGAAACTAGAGGAATCGCATTGTACACCTAATCCGCGGTAATTTCACTCCCTGAAAACGGATAGCAAACTTTTGGCGCATCCTGAAGGTGTGAAATTACTGGGGCGCGAAATGCCCCCAGTATCTTCACAGGGGTAATCCGCCGAACCGAAAAAGGTGCCACGCTGTCGCAACCAGAGCCTGACATAGCTAACTCACCCAGCCGAGGCTCCCCTAATCGAAATTTCGTGTTGCCTTTGTGTTGTGATTGCATGTCGCGCGGGGAATTCCTCTACGAAAATCTGTAAACACATTCAGTATCGTGTCTCAATTTCAGAGTGTGGCATTCCTCTTCGATGTGTTGTTCTTCTGCTGTGCGGCCTGGTCCCTCAATTTCGTGCGTTCATTGGGTGTATTTTGCTCGAGCCAATTAGAAAGGATGCTGCCGATTTCATTTTGAACTGGTCAACTCCGATGTGGCAGCTCTATAGTGGTGTCGGTGCTTCCAGAAGCGAGTTCCGAGCCTATTCAGGTGGCTCTTTCACCCACGAGCTTGGGGCCGCCCATTTCAGTGCGCCCCGAACTGTTGAAGCTTGACCGCGCCACTACGCGACATAGGGTGTGAAAATAATAGGTGTAAAATCACTGCGGTTTAGATGTAGCTGTGCAACTGCCGCGTTCCAGGTCGCAGCAAACATCTCGACGTGGCATTTTTTTTTTGTGTTCGCCAAAACCCTGCCATGCGAAAGTCAAGCGGCTCGCCAATGCACTATCGTTTGTCATCTGGTGCACATCGATCGTGGGTGTTGGCTACTCGCCATCTTGACGAACGACCTCGCATCAGAGGCACATCGATCCACGATACTGTCATCTATTAAATATTTCAGTGTAGTTGCTGCTGAATTATATATATTATATATATAATAGTAGGCTTGGTAGGTGTTACTGGATCCTACTGTAAATGGCACAACCCCTCTTCTTTTATCCTTCTCTCTTCTTTTCAAAGATCTCTTCTTTCTCGATATTTTCCTAGCCTAAAACCTCACGCCATTCCATGGCTCCTCTTTCCACCTGGCTTGCTTTAACAGTTGCGTTACAGTGCGGGATACCCGATAACTGATCTTGAGGAGGATTGATCGTTTACTTGTATCACGCACTGAGAGCGCATTTCAGGCATGAAACTACAAGCGAACGATGTGCATGCGACTCATCAGAGGGCCAAATTTGGGTGACAGAGCTGCATGGCAACCCCGTTACGGCAGTGTGCGTTTTACTTTCCATAACCTAGGATAAGGAAAAGCTAGTTTCCTACAATAATTAACGTTTCCACTTCTACAGCGCCTTCTTAGTTATCTCTCTCCAAATTACTGTCAGCAAACCGAAATTCAGCCACGTCAGATAGTCCTGCATTTACTGCGCCTTGATTTGGTAAGATTCTTACATTGCCGAATTCCGCGTAGATCTACTGGGTGAGGCATCGCCCGTTGTAGATCTCACGATGGCGCTCCGATGTCAATTGCGTCCTCGCGCTCTGATGTGCTGTATCTTGTGTGAAGAACGGACCATCTCCCTTTTTCTGCTCCCATTGCGTTAGTACGTCGGATTGCGGTGCAGTAACCTGCTTTGCGTTTCAAAGCGTTCGAATAGAAACCTAGAATGGTTTAGGGTGTTCAGCGAAGACGCATTATTTGGACCCGTCCTCCTCAACCACTTGCATGGGCTCAATTCACGCGGGAAATGGGAAGGGGAGGATGGAACGGAAGCGTAGCGAACGCAAGGCCTTGTACACCAAAATATTCGTTTAAATAGCACATGTTAGAGTCTCATATTTGGTTCCAACTACCCCAAGTTTGGGCCAGCCTTGTAATGTCGCACAGAGAGTGAGTCCAGTCGAACGTGGGTTCTCAGGCAAGCGACTCCATAGCGTTACAGTCACCACGCAAATCAAACAATCACTACCGCCCAAACGAACCCTACAATTCAAACGAGTAATTGGGTGTATTGTACAGTACAGTTCTGCGCTGTACTTCTCCTCTCCTCTGCCCTGTCCTTTCACAATGGCGGCGTACTGTAGTCACTACTGTTCTGTACTCAGTAGTTTTTTATGTCCTCCAATCGTGCTTCAAGAAAGTGCGTGCAAGCTTCAGTATGACGTGGCCCTGCACTGATTGATTGATCAAAACTCGCACGTCATCACATGGCAACTGCGTCAGCTGCGTTATCCGTCCACGCCTCGCATGCTTTGTGCTTGGCTGACAATCACCATTCTGGTGTGATGGTCTGGTCTGGTCTGGACGGAATGCAATGCAAGGTCCTACGTCTTTCCCTCCCGCTCTCGCTCACTCCCGCACTGTCTCTCCCTCTCTCTCGTTCTCTCACATCCCTCCGTCCTCTCCCAAGCGACCCCTTTTGCCTCCCTCTCCGTCCCTCCGTCCTTCCGCCCCGCGTACACCCTCGTGAGGCACGAAAGAGTCGTCACGCAAAGCCATTCCCTTCGATTTCCACGGGGGGCAAGGCAACCCCATGCGCATTCGATGCGAGCTGCCTGCGCGGATGTCGCCCTGTCAGGTTGAGTTGAGTTGAGAGCAAAAGCAGGCATTCATTTCAATGCCCTGCCCTGCACAGCTCGTGCTCATATACTGTACACCGCACTCCGCGGTCTCCGAGACCGAGTCCAGCGAGGAAAGACAGTGAAACGCGGAACGACGGGAACACCGCCTCCAGCGTCGTCTTTCGTCTTGCCCCCTCTCGCACCCATGTCCAACATTCGAAGCACAGAGAGTTGCGTCGTACAGAACAGTAGATGCTTCCCTGCACCATCCTTCAGCGAACGGCCTTCCCCATTTCGGTGCATACTAAGTCGTATACTAGTTCAAAGTTCGGTTCTCCGAGCCCTCGTTGACACGACATTCGCTGCTCCCTCCTCGGAACGTAACCGTTGTGTGGACGAGTCGACGAGTTATCCTCCCCGTTGTGTGGACGAGTCGACGAGTCATCCTCCCCCGTTGTGTGGAAGAGTCGACGAGTTCCCTCCCGACGCCCTTGATTCCTTCAATCGCCGTCACCCAATCGCCGTCATCAGATCGCCGTCACCCGCTTCGAGTGGAAATGGACGGAAACCGTTCCGTCATCGTCGTCCTGCCCGACGGCTCGCTCCGTCTATTCGTCCCGGACGTGACGTCCAACTTCGAGTCGGGCCCCGCCGCCGGCAAATCCGCCGGCATTTCCGCTGGCCGCGTCCTTGCAGACTTTCCCCGCCACGTCCTCGTCACCGCCCCTCCGCATTCCGCGGCGTCAGGTCCGAAGGATTCTCCCTTTGTGGACTCCACGAGGTATCCTTCGTCAGATTCCATCCTTCCTCCCGATTCGATCCTTCTCCCCGCGGAGACGTACTACATAATCAGCGCTGACTCCTTCGAGGCGCCTCAAAGCCACCATCGTGACAGCGACGTCGTTTCGTTGCGAACGACTGAACGGCGGCGCGCTGCGAACAGCAGCGCGGGATCAATGTCATCCAATGATTCGTCCCCATTCCCCGACGATGTCAGCTCGGCGTTCCGCGCCGAGCTGAGCTGGCGCCTCAACGAAGATGTTACCAAGTCAACCCAGCTCAACGAGTTAAAAGCGTGGTTGGGTGGATCGACTGGAGCGCGCGTACTACCGTCATTCCTCGACGCGTCACGCGGCGAATCGGCCCGCGAAAACGAACCTTTCGCCGCCAGCGGTGGTGGTAACTTGCGAGCCGCTGACCTGGTCGCAGCTTGGCTAGACTGCGACTCCGGAACAGAACCGAACACGTGCCGCCTTGGCGCGAATGATTCTGAGCCGTCCCGAGATCCGGCGGACACGTGTCCTGAGGCGAGCTTTCAGCGGCGGTTTCGAAAAACAGGCGGGTGTTTTGCATCTCCAATTGCGAGCACGGATCAAGTCTCGCCACTGCCGCTGCCACCTCCGCCGCTTGCCGCGTCGACTCGAATCATGGAAATGCCGCCGCCGCCTCAACCGACGGCCATCCAGCGCCGGCATACCATCAGTGCTGCCGATGATATGATCCGACGGCCATCCAGCTCCATGGCTGGTTCTTACGGGGAGTACTATGGCGGAACAGACTCGCAGCCTAACCTTGCGCCCCCAAACCATCGTGCGAGTATTCTTAACGCGTACGGGTTGACGAGTCGTAGTGAACGCTACAGCCAGTGCCAGTGGGTTGATTGTAGCGGCGGTGCTGGCAACTGTGGCAGTAGCACTGGCATGAAGCTGGGACGAGACGGCAGCAGCAGCGGCTACAGCCAGTGGGGCGACTGTTGCAGCAGCAGCAGCAACAGCACCAGCGGCAGAAGCCAAGGACGCCTCAGCGGCAGCAGCTACGGCAGCTACATCAGCAGCGCTGGAGAGCAGGATTGGACCTCTGAGACCGGCTGTAGCAGCAGCCGCTACAGCCTTCGAGTGGACGAGGATACGGTCTGGCCCCAGCCGGCCTGCTACTCTCTCCCGCTGCTACAGTCGCGCTCGGCTGTAGCGACTGCTGCTACAGACGTGGGGGAGTCCACGTGGCAAGAGGACAACGCATTGAGTGACGAGGTGAGCAGCCATTGGACAGGCGTGTAGTATATGGGTGCATGACATGATGCTGAGCTGACTTATTTATGTTCTGTACTGCACGAGGTGACTTTTGAGTCGACTCAAAAGTCACATGGATGCATGACATGATGCTGAGCTGACTTGTTGATGTTCTGTGCTGCACGTCATGTAGAGCAGTACATGATTGTTGTAACCACGACGAGCTTTCTACATGACGTTGTCTGGTCTCGTATATGGGAGCATCGTATGCTGACTCACTCTGTCTTGCTTGTTTCTCTTTGCCTGACAGATGGCGGCTCTCTGCTTCTCGTCCAACCCCAGCAGAGCCCCCCCATGCCCGCGTGGCTCCACAGCATCTACACCACCTTGCACTGTACAAGCAGCCTCGTTTATTGCACAGCAGTCCCAGCAACGGCAACTCCAGAAGCAGCACTCTGACACTTATCTCCAGTCTTCTTTTCATGCCTGGAACGCCACTCCGTGTGCTAAAAGTTGCACTTTTGCCAACAGTCACACTTTCGCCAACAGCCACACTTCTGTCAACAGTCACACTTCTGCCAACAGTCACACTTCTGTCAACAGTCACACTTCTGCCAACAGTCACACTTCTGCCAACAGTCACACTTCTGCCAACAGTCACACTTCTGCCAACAGTCACACTTCTGCCAACAGTCACACTTCTGTCAACAGTCAAACTTCTGTCAACAGTTACACTTCTTCACGCAGTCAGACCTTTGCCGAAAGCGGTGCTCGTGGTGACACCGCGTTGCCTTTTTCCGGGCCTGTGTTTCACTTTGAATTGCAGCCTCGTGTCGCCGTCTCCAGGCCTGTGGTTCTACCACACACAAGCCCACGCTCGTGTTCACACACACTCTCACATGTCGGTCCTGTTGCAAACAGCAGCGGTCCTGTTTCCCTAGCTGCCAGTGGCGGTGGTGCTGCTGCTTCTGCCACTTCAAACCTTCCCATGCCTGCTGCTGCTGCTCTTGCTGCTGCGGCTGCAGCTGCCTCGACACATGTCTCAACAGCCGCCACGTGTGCAGCAGGAAAGCCAGCTGCGAGGCCTGCGAGGGTGAGGACAACCCTGTCTGGGGCTGGCAAGCGGAGCCTGTGGTTTTTGGGTGGTCGCTCGCTCTCTGGCGCTGCTGGCGCTGCTGCTGAAACCTTCTGAGTGCTGATGGGTTGGAAACAATGTTGCTGTACAGTTTGATCATGCCATATTGTTACAGGGTATGTTGTCCTTGTGCTGTACAGTTTCCGCATACAAATGCTGTCTCGACTAGAACAGTTTCAAATTCAATCCAACACAGCTCATAACAAGCATACGGTACATGGGAGAGACATCCCAGAGGTCCAGACAACTGTACAATGGTTCTCACACCCATCGTTTTCCACTAAAAACCAAGCCTCTTGCAAACCACAAAGCACACAGTAGAGCTTGAGCAGTCGTGACCACATTGCTCCTAAACGTGCGGGCATATTCCTATTGGGCTGTTGGGAGCATTGCGTTGATGACCCATGAGTCACGAGTCACGACTGCTGCAAGCGGGGAAAGAGGTCCCTCAGAAGATCTTTCTTGTTCACCTGAGGAATGGGGTGATGAGTCGATGACAGAGATGGCGAGACTGATGAGTGCAAGGCTGCCAGCATGTACCCTACAGCAGGGAAGCTCTGTAGTCGTGACTGCTACAAGCGAGCAATGGGGACAGGGGATGATCGATACGATGGACGTACAAGTGCTACTGGTACCATGTGAGAGGTGGATCTTGGTGCTACTGTACCTACCAACATGTTGTGCTGTAAGTATGGCACTACTAACATCCCCATGGCATCATTAACATTCCCATGGCATCATTAACATCCCCATGGCAAAAGGGAACTGCCATATGGCATTAAAGCCCCAAGGTTTTGGAAAGGGGTTTCCGGTTTGCCATCTCACCTTCCCCATGACGTTGCGTGGCATCTTGTCGACCACTCTCAGGCGCGAGGGTACCTGGTGGGGAGGGCACGAAGGCATGACAAAGCACGGCACAGCATGGCATTATGGGTCGGGGCAATGGTGGCGTGGCATCTTCTCAACCACCCTAAGGTGCGACGGCGCCTGGTGGCGAGGGCGTGACGGCACCTGGGTGGAAGGGCGCGATGAAGCGAAAGTGTGTGACATTAAATCGACGTGGCTTTTGAGTCGACTCAAAAGTCGACTTCCCCATTGCGCTGCGTGGCATCTTTTCATCCACCCTTAGGCGTGATGGCACCTGGGTGGCGAGCGTGAGGGAGAGAGACGGGGGGCATGGCTTACTGGTATCTCACCACGCACACCACAAACTAAGTGTTTTCCTCTGAGCGAGATTTCTCTTTACTCACACAGTGTTTTGCAAGACCCACAGCCATGTATGGCGAAACCCACTAAGTGATGCTCTCAGGGAGAGAGAAGGGAAGCGTGGCTCACTGGTATCGCACCATGCACTCCACGAAAACTATAATGAGCCACAAATAGCACACACTCCGTATAGCAAATCACAGAGGCAGAGACCATTTTGTGAAACCATTCTGGAACCTTATAACGAGCCACCTGACTGCGGCTGACATTATAACAAGCCATCTGACTGCAACTGACCTTATAACGAGCGATGCAGGTAGACGCCCATTTCCTCAACTCATTGAGCACTGCATGTTCCTAAGCTGCTGATGCTCACTCACATTGTAACGAGCCATACGACATGCGACACCACCTCACCTTATAACGAGCCATGCGGGTAGACGCCCATTTCATCAGCTCGTCGAGAGTGAGCAGTCCTGGATGCTCGTCATCACATGCATAACCACTGCCAACAACGGCCTTACACAGCACCTCACCTTATAACGAGCCATGCGGGTAATGCCACCTGACTGCAGCTGACATTATAACGGTGCATGCCCATTTCCTCAACTCGTCGGGAGTGAGAACTGGGCGTTACTAAGATGCAGATGCTCACTCACATCGAGAGTGAGCACTGGGTGCTCGTCGAGAGTGAGCACTGGGTGCTCGTCGAGAGTGAGCACTGGGTGCTCTCCAGAGATGCTGATGCTCACTCACATTGTAACGAGCCATACGACATGCGACACCACCGCACCTTGTAGTGAGCCGTCTGACTGCAACTGACCTTATAACCAGCCACGCGGGTAGACGCCCATTTCCTCAACTCATCAAGAGTAAGCATTGGGTGTCCGCCTGATGCAGTCTCGCTGCTATCAGCAACGCCCGTTCCCTCTTCCCCTTCGTTCTTCACCTCCCCATGGCTGCTCCCAGGCGCACTATCAACGTGCTGCTGCTGATACTGCTGCTGCTGCTGTTGGTGATTGGTACGGTGGTGGTTCTGGTGATGCGGTAAAGTTGATCCCAGAACCACCACTGCCGCCACTGCCTCCCCCTGTTCCCTGTCTGGTACGCCGAGGACCACCGCCTCGGACACAAGGGGATGCTGGGACGGGCGTGGAGGGAGAAAAAGGGGAAGACGTGAGAAAAAGGGGAAGACGTGAGAAAAAGGGGAAGACGTGAGAAAAAGGGGAAGACGTGAGAAAAAGGGGAAGACGTGAGAAAAAGGGGAAGACGTGAGAAAAAGGGGAAGACGTGAGAAAAAGGGGAAGACGTGAGAAAAAGGGGAAGACATGAGAAAAAGGGAAGACGTGAGAAAAAGGGGAAGACGTGAGAAAAAGGGGAAGACGTGAGAAAAAGGGGAAGACGTGAGAAAAAGGGGAAGACGTGAGAAAAAGGGGAAGACGTGAGAAAAAGGGGAAGACGTGAGAAAAAGGGGAAGACGTGAGAAAAAGGGGAAGACGTGAGAAAAAGGGGAAGACGTGAGAAAAAGGGGGAAGACGTGAGAAAAAGGGGAAGACGTGAGAAAAAGGGGAAGACGTGAGAAAAAGGGGAAGACGTGAGAAAAAGGGGAAGACGTGAGAAAAAGGGGAAGACGTGAGAAAAAGGGGAAGACGTGAGAAAAAGGGGAAGACGTGAGAAAAAGGGGAAGACGTGAGAAAAAGGGGAAGACGTGAGAAAAAGGGGAAGACGTGAGAAAAAGGGGAAGACGTGAGAAAAAGGGGAAGACGTGAGAAAAAGGGGAAGACGTGAGAAAAAGGGGAAGACGTGAGAAAAAGGGGAAGACGTGAGAAAAAGGGGAAGACGTGAGAAAAGGGGAAGACGTGAGAAAAAGGGGAAGACGTGAGAAAAAGGGGAAGACGTGAGAAAAAGGGGAAGACGTGAGAAAAAGGGGAAGACGTGAGAAAAAGGGGAAGACGTGAGAAAAAGGGGAAGACGTGAGAAAAAGGGGAAGACGTGAGAAAAGGGGAAGACGTGAGAAAAGGGGAAGACGTGAGAAAAAGGGGAAGACGTGAGAAAAAGGGGAAGACGTGAGAAAAAGGGGAAGACGTGAGAAAAAGGGGAAGACGTGAGAAAAAGGGGAAGACGTGAGAAAAAGGGGAAGACGTGAGAAAAAGGGGAAGACGTGAGAAAAAGGGGAAGACGTGAGAAAAGGGGAAGACGTGAGAAAAAGGGGAAGACGTGAGAAAAAGGGGAAGACGTGAGAAAAAGGGGAAGACGTGAGAAAAAGGGGAAGACGTGAGAAAAAGGGGAAGACGTGAGAAAAAGGGGAAGACGTGAGAAAAAGGGGAAGACGTGAGAAAAAGGGGAAGACGTGAGAAAAAGGGGAAGACGTGAGAAAAAGGGGAAGACGTGAGAAAAAGGGGAAGACGTGAGAAAAAGGGGAAGACGTGAGAAAAAGGGGAAGACGTGAGAAAAAGGGGAAGACGTGAGAAAAAGGGGAAGACGTGAGAAAAAGGGGAAGACGTGAGAAAAAAGGGGAGCGTCTTTGGCGCCTCAGAAGCAGCCTCAGAGAGGGACAGAATTAGCCACTCCCCCCTTCCCTGTCTGGTACGCCGAGGACCGCCGCCTCTGCGACAGATCGGGGCGAGGGGAGGAAGGGGGGGAGAGATAGGGGGAGAGGGGAGGAAGGGGGGGGAGATAGGGGGAGAGGGGAGGAAGGGGGGGAGAGATAGGGGGAGAGGGGAGGAAGGGGTGGGGAGATAGGGGGAGAGGGGAGGAAGGGGGCGGGAGATAGGGGGAGAGGAGATGCTGGTGTGTGTGCGCAGCAAGGGGGGGAGAGGAGAAGGGGAGGGGAGAGATAGGGGGAGAGGGGAGGGGGGGGGGAAGAGATAGGGGGAGGGGTGAGGGGGGGGGGGGGGGGGCGGGAGAGATTGGGAGAGGGGAGGGGGGGGTGTTTTGAGGTGGATGCAAGGGCAGAAGGAAGCATGCTCAACAGAGGGATTGCCCTTCTCTGTTCCCTGTGCGGCATTCGCTTGACCACATGCACAACTCGGCCCCTTTCCTGCCTTTTGAGCCGACTCAAAAGTCATCTCCGTCCGGTATGCCCTCGGACACATGTGCCACAGGCCTCCTCCCACCACCCCTGATCACCACTCATCACCACTCATCGCCGCTCATCACCCCCTTACCTCCAGTAGCTTGGACTCTATCTCGAGGGCAGACACCTTGTAGCCCCTTGTCTTAATAATGTCCACACTTTCCCCTGGGGCGGGGGGAGGAAGGAGCAGAGGGGAGGAGTTAGGAAAGGCAGGAAGCTTGCAGCCTCTTGCCTTAATACAAGTGTGGATGTAGGCTTCCTGCCTCCCTTGACTTTATCATGTCCACACCACACTTGCTCCTGAGGAAGAGAGAGAGAGGAAAGAGAGAGGAAAGAGAGAGGAAAGAGAGAGGAAAGAGGGCGTACAAGAGAACGAGATATGCATGAGGACATTGCTTACAATGCCGAACAAAGATGCATATATGCACCATAAGCATACAATATTCACTGTAAAAACTCATTCCCGTGCATCTGCCAGTATCCTTGGCTGCCCTCTGATACTATATTATACATGCTTATATCCATACAGCACATAACAGTCCGCTGTTTGACGACGAAAAATTCACTCCCCGTTGTTCAAGGTTCTATTCAGACGAAAAACTCACTCCTGTGGATCTGCCAGTACCCATGGCTGTCCACCGATGCATCATCATTCACATGTACACACATCCATACATCCATACATCCATACATCCATACATCCATACGGCACATGAGCACTCACTCCCGTGGATCTGCCAGTACCCATGGCTGTCCACCGATGCAATGTCGCCCGTCCGGAACCACCCCTCGGGATCAAACGCCTCGGCTGTCTCCTGGGGATACTCGGACAAAGTCCGGGGCCAGGGGGAGCGAGAGGGGTAAAGATTTTGGCACTTTGGCACGCCTCTAGGGCAACGACACACGCACACCCCTCTAGGTCGAAAGCCTCTCTGCCACCGATGCACTGTTGCCGTCCGGAACCACCCCTCGGGATCGAAAGCCTCGGCTGTCTCCTGCCGTGACCCCAGGGAAGGAAGGGCAGCGGACGGGTAAGGGCAACAGGGGGGGGGGAGGTTGGGGGAAGGGCGATGGGGGATGAAAGGCAAAGGGGGGGGGAGAGGAATGGGCGAGGGAGGGGCATCAGGGGGGGGGGGAGGGAGGGCAATGGAGGGGAAGGGTGATTCCGACACAGCTCATGGGCTAGTGACCCCTCTTGACTCAAACGCCTCTGCTGCCTTCTGTGGTGATATGCAGGAAGATGGGAAGTTGGGGGTGAAGGGGGGTAAAGGTGATGTGGGACGAAGACGGGAAAAGGGGGGGGCGGTTAGGGATGATTGGGGGGGAGAAGAGGTGTTGGGGGGGGGGGGATGGGGGGAGGAGGGGAGGAAAGGGTGTTTGGGGAGGCGAGGGGATGGTTAAGGGAGGGTGCTTAAGGGGGAGGGGGAAAACGGTGAGTGGCAGACTTTGGCTGATCCCTAAAATGAAACGGTGAGTGGCAGAATTTGGCTGATCCCTAAAATGAAACGGTGAGTGGCCGAACCACCTCTTGAGTCACAGAGCATGACAGAAGCACCTTGGGCTTGTTCCAGAATCGGAGGAACATGCCGGGGCTCTTGTCTAGGAGCTCTCCCCACACCCCACTCCAGGTGCTGCTGGTGCTGGTGCTGGTGATTTTTTAGTCGACTCAAAAATCACCCCCGGCTGGTGCTGGTGGTGGCTCCATCTTCATGCATGCAATCATCACACCACTACAGCTGATCGCCACTCAAACTCAAACGCACCTTGGGCTTGTTCCAGTATCGCAGGAACATGCCGGGGCTCTTGACAAGCAGCTCTCCCCATCCCCCACTCCAGGAGCCGCTGCTAGTAGTGCTGCTGCCACTGTTGATGCCACCACTGCTGCCACCACTGGTGCTACCACTACTGCCGCCGCCGCTGCCGCTGCCGATGCTCCTGCTGAACGCCCCTGGAGCAGGCACGTGTCCCAACACGCCTCTTGCAGCCGAGCTGCCAGCACTGCCGCCGCTGGTGCTGCTGCCGGGCCGGGCCTTTGCAATGTCGGCTAGCTTCACCTGATGGGGGGAGGGGAGGAGAGGGGAGGGAGAGCAGCATTGGCTGTGGGAATGAGAACACACATGCCGCTCCTGGTGCTGCTGCTGCTGCTGCTGCTGTGCCCTGGATTTTGCAATGTCGGCTAGCTTCACCGGAGGAGAGGGGAGGGAGAGCAGCATTGGCGGTGGGAATGAGAACACACATGCCGCTGCTGCTGCTGCTGCTGCTGTGCCCTGGATTTTGCAATGTCTGCTAGCTTCACCTGATGGGGGGAGGGGAGGAGGAATCCTGACTCAACACACATCCGTGTCACCTCCCCTCAAGTGCTTCGCCCACAATCCTGATTTCTTCTCCCCGAACAAATGGTTGAAAGCAGTTGACCGCAGTTGACCACAGTTGATGGCCAGAGTCTACCAGAGTCAACCCTCACCTTGACTTGACCCGACTGAGGGACACGCCCATGGATCCATACTTCTTCCCTCCCAGCAGAGGGTTGACCACAGTTTACCACGGTTGACCGCAGCTGACCAGAGTTGGCCACAGGTGACTGCAGTTGACAACAGTTGACCACAGCTGACAATATTTGACCACCAGTCTACTAGGATTGACCCTCACCTTGACGCTTCTGAGAGGCACGCCCACTGATCCTGACTTCTCTCTCTCACCAAAGGGTTGGCCGCAGTTGACTGCACTTAGCCTCAGTTGACCACTGTTGACAACAGTTGTCCAGTCTTCCAGGGTTGACTCTTACCTTGGCGCCTCTGAGGGGGACGCCCACTGATCTGACGACTTCTCTCCCAGCGAAGGGTTGACCACAGTTGACCACAGTTGATCACAGTTGACTAGGGGCAACTCTCACCTTGACTCCCCGAAGGGGCACGCCTACTGATTGTGGCTTCTTCTCTCCCAGCAGCGGGTTGGTCAACGCCATGGCGAACTGCAGTGATGCGGAGAGGAGGGAAGGTGTGGGAAGCGGTTAGCATGGCATGAATAGTTGATCCCAGCGGTGGGTTGGTCAGCGCCATGGCGAACTGCAGTGATGGTTGGGTAAGAGAGAGGAGAAGGGAGCCGGAGCTCGCATGCAACCCTCAGGAGCTCGCATGCAGCCCTCAGGAGCTCGCATGCAACCCTCAGGAGCTCGCATGCAACCCTCAGGAGCTCGCATGCAACCCTCAGGAGCTCGCATGCAACCATCAGGAGCTCGCATGCATGCTCTTTTCCAGAGAAGAGAAACAACAGGAAAGGATTAGAGGACAGCAGGGGGTGGGAGTAGCGACCTTAAGTAACAGCAATAACTAGAAGCCTCTGCCCCGTGCGTGAGGAGTCCATTCATTAAGCGCCTCAAAACTTGAAGCCTCTGCCCCGTGCGTGACCTGGTCCTATCCTTGCAATGAGACCATTATCTAGGCGCCTCAACAATGGGAGCAGCAACCTAAGCAGCACCAATAACTAGAAGTCTCTGCCCCGTGACCTGATGCCACCCGTGCAAGGCATGTGAATCAAGCAATGTACCCCCCATCCCCATCATCTTTTACCCCCCCCCCATCTCTGGTATCCCAAACCTCTCCCCGTGAGCTGCCGCCCCGTGACCTGGTATCATCCCTTCAATGCATGTGAATGTAGCTATGTTCAGGCATATACCCCCCATTTTGCAGGGTGTTTTTGAGAATTCTAAAAAACACCCTGAAAAATCAATGTTCAGGCATATAATATATTCCCCCCATCGCTCCATACTCCCACCTCACCTCTGTCATGCCACATCGCTCCAGCAGCGTCTGCCCCGCGACCTGGTGCATGCGTGCGCACGTGCATCAAGCTACGCAACCCCCATTATTCCATAACCCCCCCCCCCCCCCCCTTCCCCCTCCCCATCCTCCCCTCACCTCTGTCATCCATTATCGCTCCAGCAGCCTCTGCCTCGTGACCTGCTGCCAACCTTCCCGTGCATACAAATCAAGCTATTTACCGCCATCCCCATCGTCCCATACCCTCTCGCACCTCTGTCATGCCATATCGCTCCAGCAGCCTCTGCCCCGTGACCTGCTGCCAGCGCCGCATGAGCTCTTCGGGGCACGAGGCAGACCCACACATCTGACGGTGATGGCACGGGTAACAAGGGGAGAGGAACACAAGGCAAGACTGCAGGGTGCCACAAGGTATGCAGCCTCTGCTCCGTGACGTGACCTGCTGCCAGCGCCGCGTGAGCTCTTCGGGGCACGAGGCAGACCCACACATTGGGATGAAGAGAAGAGTGAGTGGATTTGGGAATTTGGGAGGAGTGAGTGAGGCACCTCAAAGCCCGTGACCTGGTGCCAGCGGCGCGTGATCTCTTCGGGGCACGAGGCAGACCCACACGTCTGAGCGGGAAGGGAGTCGGGTTGCAGTGCAGATGAGGATTGGTAAAAGATGTACCCGTGGCAATTTAAAACCCCTGTTTGGCGCATGAAGCACACATGATGCGTGAGGAATTCTTGAGGCGCCTCAACAACAAGAGCTCGTCGGCGCACGAAACGCTGATGCAAATCTGACTGATGCACATCTGAGTGATGCACATCTGTATTTTGAGTCGACTCAAAATACATCTGAGTAATGCACATCTGACTGATGCACATCTGACTGATGCACATCTGGCTGATGCACATCTGACTGATGCACATCTGACTGATGGTATTGGCACAGTGGCACTATTTTTGAGGCGTCTCAAAACTAATGCGCATCTGATGGTGTTGGCACGGGTAACGAGGCATGCCTCCCTCCCGTCCCTTCCACCTTTCCTCCCCAAAACACGCGCTATTCCCCTAAACAACCACCATAGAGCCTCAGCTGACTTTTGAGTCGACTCAAACGTTTCCTCCCCAAAACACCCACCGCTATTCCCCAAAACACCCACCGCTATTCCCCTAAACAATCACCATGAGCTCAGCTTGCCAGCAGCCAGAGTCGACTTCCACTGCAGCCAGAGTCGACCCCCCACACACACCCCCCACACACACCCCCACACACACCCCCCACACACACCCCCCACACACACCCCCCCCACACACCCCCCACACACACCCCCCACACACACCCCCCACACACACCCCTCCCACACACCCCCCACACACACCCCCCACACACACCCCCCACACACTCCCCACACACACACCCCACACACACCCCCCACACACACCCCCCACACACACCCCCCACACACACTCCCCACACACACCCCCCACACACACACCCCACCCCAACCCAACCCACCATGAGCCTCAGCTTGCTGGCAGCCCGAGATGATTTCATCTGCAGTTGCTCTGGCATTCCTCTTCCCATCGCCCCCGCCTTTCCCTCCCCACATACCACACACACACCCCACCACACAACCCCACTACAACCCACCATGAGCCTCAGCTTGCTGGCAGCCAGGGCTGATCTCCTCTGCAGTTGAAGAGGCATGCGGTCAAACTCCTGTAGCAGTCGCACATAGTGGGTGGGCACCTGGAGGGAGGGAGGGGGTGAAAGTGTGACAGAACAGTGTGAGAGTATGTGACAGGGTATGTGAAAAGCATATCGGAAAGAGGCTATAGCCGCTGCAGCTGCAGAGGCATGCGGTCTAACTCCTGTAGCAGTCGGACGTAGTGGGTGGGCACCAGGGGGGATTTAAAAACAGGGGGAACGGGCGTGAGAGAGTGACTTTTGAGTAGACTCAAAAGTCACTTAGTGGGTGGGCACCTGGGGGGATAGTAGAACAGGGCGAACGGGCGTGAGAGAGTGAGAAAAGTGTGCGAGAGTGCGTGAGAGCGTATGTGAGAGGCTAGGCTATAACCTCTGCAGCTGGAGAGGCATGCGGTCGAACTCCAGTATCAGTTGGACGTAGTGGGCGGGCACCGTGGGGGAGGGAAAGAGAGGGCATGGGAGAGAGAATAAGTCAAAAGTCAACAGTCATGACGTAGTGGGCGGGCACCTGGGGGGAGGGAAAGAGAGGGTATGGGAGAGAATAAGTGAGGGAGCATTTGTAAAACTATCTGTGCAGCAATGGGGTTTTTTTGTTTGGGGGGGGGGGGGGGTTAACGGTGGAGTCTCACCCCAGTGCTGAAGGTGCCAGAGTTGGGTTGAGATGAGGACAGCGCCCATTGGGGTCGGTGCGAGAGGAGATGAACCAGACGTAGGTAGAGGGGGAGAAGAGCAGGGACGAGCAGGGGGGAACACGCCCCAGTGAGTTGGCGGTGATGGAGTCGGGCTGAGCGCACTGCCCATCGGGGTAGCTGTGAGTTGGCCTGGCCCTTTGGAGAGGAGTAAAGGAGGTCAGAGGATGCTTACCCCGGTGAAGAAGGTGATGGAGTCGGGCTGAGCGCACCGCCCATCGGGGTAGCTCTCACGCCACCGCTGCCACACGGCTGCTGCGTCGAAGCGATGGTCGGGGAGAAACTCGACCTGGGAGGGAGCAAGAGAAGGGAGAGAGAGTGAGGGGGCAGAAATAGGTGGTATCCCATAAGCCATAAGCCACCGGGGTAGCTCTTGTGCCACCGCTGCCACACCACCGCTGCATGGAAGCGATGGTCCGTCAGGAACTCGACCTGGGAGGGAGAGAATGAGAGGGGGGAACGGGGAGAGAATGAGAGGCGGTAACGGGGAGAGAATGAGAGGCGGTAACGGGGAGAGAATGAGAGGCGGTAACGGGGAGAGAATGAGAGGCGGTAACGGGGAGAGAATGAGAGGCGGTAACGGGGAGAGAATGAGAGGTGGTAACGGGGAGAGAATGAGAGGCGGGAACGGGGAGAGGAGAGGACAGCGGGACATGGAGTGAGGCATAGGGAGGTCGCACTGTGGTAGCTCTCCCCCAACCGCTGCCACACCGCCGCTGCGTCAAAGCGATGGTCGGGGAGAAACTCGACCAGCGTGGGAGAGGAAGGGGAGTGAATGGGGATACATGGACGAATGGGTTGAGGAGAGCATTTATGATGACATGCATACATGTGCTTGCAGTAGCAGTCTCAGACGCATAGACACGTGCAGGCATGCATACATGTGCTTGCAGTTGCAGTCTCAGACGCATAGACACTTGCAGGCACGCATACATGTGCTTGCAGTTGCAGTCTCAGACGCATAGACACTTGCAGGCACGCATACATGTGCTTGCAGTTGCAGTCTCAGACGCATAGACACTTGCAGGCATGCATACACACTTACCGTGGCACCAGCGGAGAGAGGGCTGAGCAGAGCGTTCATGGTGCCATGGACATGTGCTCATGGTGACGCCAGGCACCGCAACGCCCAACACATACACATGCATACTTACCGTGGCACCAGCGGAGAGAGGGCTGAGCAGAGCGTTCATGATGCCATGGACATGTGCCCATGGTGACGCCAGCCGGAACAACAGCAGTACCATCAGCAGCAGCAGCAGCAGCAGCAGCAGCACCAGCAGCAGCAGCGTCCATTTCAAAGGAAGGCAGGAGCAGGAATGAGGGGCGAGGCAGCAGCAGCACCCATTTCAAATGGTTAGAATCGATGGATGGCGAAGCCAGGGGAAAGGAAAATTGAAACGGAGAGGGTCGAAGATAGAGGGGTTGGGGAATGAGCGAGGACGGTGGGAGGTGGGGCGACGGTTAAGGAAATCCATTGGATGAACGAAAGACAGAGGTTGGGGTGGGGCGAGAGACGAGCGGAGTAAGATAGGTGGGAGGTGGGAGGTGGGAGGTGGGGCGAGAGGTTCGAAGACAGAGGGGTTGGGGAATGAGCGAGGGCGGTGGGGCGAGAGACGTGGAGTAAGATGGATGAGGCACAGGGGAGGGGGCGACGGTTGAAGCCCAGGTCCCAAATTAGTCAAGTGTGTCCAAAAACGGATGCGGTGAGAAGGGTCATAAAGATGAGCGGGTCATATAGGGAGGAAAAGAGAGGGTGAGCAGTTTGAAGTGTGCAGTTCGAGACACGTGAAGCGTGGAGTTAAAACACGTGTACGATTCAAGGAAGAGATGGCTGGTTGCAGGAGGTACAGAGGTAAGGGTAGGCCGTCGAGAAAGAAGGACAGGAGGGGGGTAAGAGGAGGGCAGTAGAAAAAGAAGAGAGGGTGTAGGCATGCGCAGCAGGATATGGTGCAAGGGCAAGACGTTGAGCAAGGAGAGGAGGGGGGTGAGGGGAGAGACAGGGTGGAGGAAGGGAGGAGGAGGGGGAGAGGGAGTATAGAGACATGCGGCAGGATATGGTGCAAGGGCAGCACGTTGAGCACTCGGTCCGAGGGGGAGAAGTCCCACGCGTCCACCAGCATGCTGGCCTGCGGGTGACAAAGAGGGCAGCATGCACAGGGTGAGGTGAGAGCAGGGTGAGGTATGATTGGAGGCGTGGGGACTTGGTCCGAGGGGGAGAAGTCCCACGCGTCCACCAGCATGCTGGCCTGCAGGGATACAAGAGAGAAGCACGTAGGGTGATGGCAGGGGCAAGAGTGAAGTGGTGTTGATAGCAGTGATGGGAGGTGCTGTGTGGCGATGTGGTGCAAGGGCAGCACGTTGAGCACTCGGTCCGAGGTGGAGAAGTCCCACGCGTCCACCAGCATGCTGGCCTGCAGGGATACAAGAGAGAAGCACGTAGGGTGATGGCAGGGGCAAGAGTGAAGTGGTGTTGATAGCAGTGATGGGAGGTGCTATGTGGCGATGTGGTGCAAGGGCAGCACGTTGAGCACTCGGTCCGAGGGGGAGAAGTCCCACGCGTCCACCAGCATGCTGGCCTGCAGGCGAAGGGAAGAAAATCCACCAGCATGTCATTATCAGAACATAGCAGTTAGCAAGTAAGCCCATGGGTTGGTCTTGAGACAAGGAGTTTCTTATTATTAGACGCCACAGTCAGACTCATCCAACTGAGAAAAAGCAAAAGAGAGGCTAATATACCTGGGAGGCGAGCCCTATGTGTGAGTGCACCACTCCCTTGGGCTGGCCGGTGGTGCCGCTTGTGTACACTATCAGAGCAGCTGATAGCGAGGGCGGGGGAGAGGGGAGAGAGGGGAGGGAGGAGAGGGAGGGGAGAAGAGGCTGTTGGAAAGAACACACAAGAGACCAGTGGTGCCTGGTTGTCCCTCTCTCCTCCCCCTCTCTGTCCTCCAATGGTCCACATATGAGCATGTCCGGCCATGTCCGGCCATGTCCGGCCAACATACAGGCACAGACGAGCCACACCATGCCAGCATGATGTGAGCACAGGCTTGCATGTTCTTCATCGCTTCTAACGCCCCCCTCTGCTCCCCCTTGTCCCTCTCCTCGAGCTCTCTGCGCGCCAATGCATCACAAGGCGATACAGAACGAGTATGCATGTCCTGTGTGCGAAGGGCACTCTCTTCATCGCCTCTATCCCCCCGCCCACTCCTCCCAGCGCCCCCTGTTCTTCAGCGGTTGCCATCAAATTTTCACAGAGTTTTTCAAGCAAGCTCTCTACAAAATGTTCACTCAGTACTTTCAATTTCACAGTGTTCACTCAGCGCCCCCTGTTCCCCCTGTTCTTCAGCCGTTGACATGCTTCTGCCACAACCAGGCATCACTCACCCACGCATACGAGTGATGTTGACGATTGCGTGTTGACGCACGCATGCGTGTCAACATGTCGTTCTTCTCACGCATGTTGACAGCACACCTGCGTGTGAGAAGGAAACATTCTTAGCTGCCTCTCTACCCGCCCGCTCGACCCCAGTGTCCCTCTCCTCGAGCCATCTGACCCCCAGCCAGATAGATCCCTACCACCAAGTCATCCCCCAGCCAGATAGATCCCTACCACCAAGTCATCCCCCAGCCAGATAGATCCCTACCACCAAGTCATCCCCCAGACAGATAGAATGGAAATTCGGCACTGATGAAGATGTTCTAGAGTCCTTACCTTAGACTTCGAAACATGTTTGCTTTAATCTTTTGATTCTGCACTGTTTTCAGTTTTCTGAGATCTCGGCTATTACACGGGCAACTTGTGTATTTCACTGTTAATCTTTTTGCTAAAAGTTTCGATTACACTGCTGCTCCCTTCTATCATGGCTAACAACAGATAGATCCCTACCACCAAGTCATCCCCCAGCCAGATAGAAGGGCACGTTCTACCAGCCGAGCCCATCATACCAGCCCAGTGTGAGAAGGGCAAGTTCTTCATCGTCTCAACCCCCGCCCGCTCCTTGCAGTGTCCCACTCCTCGAGCTCTCTGCCCTCCAGCGTGCGACATTCACCGACTACATACATATGGGGTGTGATGACCCATACATACATACTGCTGATGTTACACAGCACCATACCTGCGTGGGAGAAGGGCACGTTCTTCATCGCTTCCACCCTCGCCCGTTTTTTGAGGCGCCTCAAAAATAGGTCCCTACCACCAGATCACCCCCCAGCGCCGAGCCCACCATACCTGCGTGCGAGAAGGGCACGTTCTTCATCGCTTCCACCCCCGCCCGTTCCTCCGCCGTGTCCCGCTCCTCCAGCTCCCTGCCCTCCAGCGGGTCAGATGGGACAAACTCCGCCGCCACGTCTGCCGCCAGCGGCGCCAGGATTGGGCGGCTGGACTCTGGCCCTACCACCAGGCGAGCTCCCTGAGAAATGACGAGTGAAGAAGCATGAGGGGAGGAACTGAGTTTTGAGGCGCCTCAAAACAAGTGAAGAAGCATGAGGGGAGGAACTGAGTTTTGAGGCGCCTCAAAACAAGTGAAGAAGCATGAGGGGAGGAACTGAGTTTTGAGGCGCCTCAAAACAAGTGAAGAAGCATGAGGGGAGGAACTGAGTTTTGAGGCGCCTCAAAACAAGTGAAGAAGCATGAGGGGAGGAACTGAGTTTTGAGGCGCCTCAAAACAAGTGAAGAAGCATGAGGGGAGGAACTGAGATGGGGAGTTCTAGGTTGAGTCTTACTGAGTCATTTACCACGTATCGTAGCTCTTCCGCGGGGTAACTGTCGCACAGCGGAACCCCTACTAACCGAGCCTTACCGAGTGTCTTACCAAGTTACGTATAACAGCTCCACTGCTGGGTAACTGTCACACAGCGGAACCACATGTTACCGAGTCTTACCGAGTCTTTAAGCACGTATAGCAGCTCATCTGCGGGGTAGCTGTCGCACAGAGGAACCGCCACCCCCCCCGCCGCCCATGCCGCCCACATGCCCGCCACATAGTCCGTTCCCGGCCGCCCAAAAATCGCAATCCGCGGGCCTTCCGCCGCCTCCGCCTCCCCTCCTTGCTGCTCCGCCCGCGCTTCCCCTGCGCCATTCCCCGCCGCCCTTGCTCCCTCGCTTATTCCCCCCCGCTCCACTGACTCCGCGGCTTCGTGCTGGTCCGCCACGTGCGGGGCTCTGGGCTCGACACGTGACAGGCGCTTCCGGAACTCGCGCGCGAGCCTGGCGGCGTGCGCGAGGAGGTCCCTATACGACGCGGTTCGTCCGCTGCCAACCACGGCGGGGGCGGACAAATGGTCGAAGGCGGACGAGGGGAAGCTCCGCGGAAGCGCGGGCGCGCGTCCGGCGGGGCGCGGGGAGTGCGCGTAGAGGTGTGGGTGATTGGAATGGTCGGAGGGGTCGTGATGGCGGTCGCGGTTTCTACTATAATACTCGGTACTATGCCTACTATTATGGTACTGGCGGTGCGGGCTGTAGTAGTAAGCGAACACGTGGTCGTTAGTAGTGTCACATGCTCGAGTGGGAAAAGACGAACGAGTCAAAGCCTTATCTCTGGCACTAACGGCGGTGGCATAAGCGACGCCGGAATCCGTCGACGAACCAAACGAGTCGTGGACGGAACGAACAGTCTGATTATAGACTGAAAATATTCGCGGGTAGTTTAGGAGACGGGCTCGCAAGCCCGCGAGAGCACGGTTGCGGCAGTTGATAAGGCTCATTCTGTTGGGAATCGGCGGCTCGCTAACTCGGTTTCAACCCGAGCTTGAAGCTCGACTATGGTTACACTGGCTACCGTAAAGTCAGGGCTTCGAAATAACAGAACAGTACAAGGATGGAACCGTGAAGTTTAGAGCCGCCTCAAAACTTTACAACGGACAAAGCGAAGATGGATTTGAGACCAAGAGAGAGGAAAGTCAAAGATTAGCGACGCCGGAAAAAAAAGAAAGTGAACGCTGTTGTTTCTGCCTTAGTGCCTGCCAATGGTGGCTGAACCATGTTGTTTCGCTAAGTGGAAGGGATCATGCGTGCGAGACGAGAAGAACCTGTTGCCTCACTAGAAGCATAGGAGGGAGTCGCAGTGTGCTGTTGGCGAAAACGCGTGCGAGAGGTGACGAGAAAGAACTGTCGTCTATTGGACGACGACGGCCTATGCTGCCCTTATACTCTCTGCTTATCACGGCACTCCCTGGTGGCGTGGCGAGCGATATTTGTGGAGATTCAGTGTCACGTCAGCTTCCAAGAGCCAATCATCGCAGGTGTTCAATCCCAAAGTCCAAGGTAAGCACCTGGGAAAATTACTGCCGCGGACTGCCCACAAATCTTTTCATACTTTCGTGGACAGCCCCTACTTTCACGGACACCACATCAACCTTTCGCTTCTCCCGTGGACTCCGCCCCTACTTTCATGGACATCCGCCTTACTTCCATGGACAAGGTCGAAATCGCAGGAAATAAGCGAAAACTCAACTGTACCAAAAATGACGGGCGCTGAAAAAAAAAACAGCGGCTCAGCATGCGTCGCAAAGAGTCGCACGCTACAGTTCCCCAACCCAAAATCCGAAACAGAATCTACCAGAAATTGGGAACATGACTTACACGCCAGGTTTTCGTTTGGTGCGTTTGGCACAAAAACTCCTGTGACGTTTGATTCGGCAGGCAGTACCCACGCGTTTCTACGTTACTGTACTTCAGAAGGGAAAATTCCAGTTTGAGAGTGTCTAAACGATTTTGCGGGCAATCAGAATTATGTTTCTAAGAACCATTTTTATTTAGAACCTTGTTAAAAAACATTAATCGTTGAAGGAAACCTTTCGTTTTGCGAATATGATGTAAACAACAGCAGCACTAGTCTGAACTGGTAGACAAATTTACAGAGCGTACCGATTTTTCCTTCTGAAGTACAGTAGCGTAGAAACGCGTGGGTACTGCCTGCCGAATCACTCGTCACAGGACTTTCTTGCCAGAATCTCCACTAGAGCATGCGATAGAAGGAGCATCGATATATGCACCGATTTCAGAACACGATTATGACGGTCTCGAAGAAAACGTGGATACCACAAACGGAGCGGCAAATAATGACATGAACATAATGGCATTTTGTTTAAAACCCACGTCTCATTATTCTGATTTAGGAACAAAGGTAATTAGCTTGGTACAGTACTATGTACTCGAGTTTCCCAGCAAGTGACGGTCAAAAGTGTTTGCGAGTTGGGAGCGGGGAAGGTGACCAATCAAACCAGAGAATCGAACCTGAGGACACAGGCCTTAGGGTTGTAAAACCATTCGATTGATTTGCAACGAGGGGTAGTGACGGATTTGAAATTTTGGCGAGGGTGGCTCGTGAATAAATTCTTCGAGCAGAATACGAAACCGAAACTGCAATCTGAAACCTACCGCAAGTCGAGACTACACGCCCCCAGAAAGTCGAGCGCCGAAACCAAGCGTATTACGGCCAGCCTGAAATACGAGCCTCAGAGCTGTCCCATCCCAAGTGCTGGCTTCTTCTATTGGTCCCGAAATTGTTTGTTCCTCGCTACCCTCGTCAAAGCCACCCCTGCTTTTGGAACCTCGCCCACCAATCAAGCTCGCCGTTTTCCAACCAGGCGTAATACTCTAGGAAATACGGGATGCGGGCTTTAAACGCTTAGCTTGTATCACAAACGGAGCAGCACAAATCCGAGTCAACGGTCACCTCCGTCAGGAAATCGCGTTCTCCGCTTCCCATCCGCGCGTTCCCCGATAAAGGCGACGCTAGCGAATCTCCCGCTCTAGACGCTTAGCGCATCTCTCTCTTGAAGCACCACCGCATCGGGCGCTTCGCTTACTACGCTCGCTGATGTTCGCGTAGGTTCGCCAGGCACCCACGCTAGGACAGTACTGCGTCGTCTCGGCCTGTACTGTGAAAAGATGAATTTCATATCCGAATCGCAGGTTAGTGGAAGTTCCAGGTACGCCTGTCCGTGTAACGAGTCTATTTTACACACGAAGCCTGTCGACTCAAAAATAGACTCACGAAGTTCCAGGAACGTCTGTCCTGGTTGCTCTTGAGGCGCCTCAAAAGCTGTCCTGGTTGCTGTTTCCGAATCGCAAGTTAATTACGATCTTCTTTTCCGTTGCCATCACCGCATAGCATGCCCCCGCGACATACTCTTTGCCTACTCTTCAATCAGGTCCAATCTTACATTTTGGTCTACTCCCCATTGTGTCACACCGCCCCATTTTGTCACACCCCCTTTGTGTCACACCCCCGTTTTGTCATATCCCCCATTGTGTCACACCCTCCCTTGTATCACCATGGCCAGTTGGAGGAGAACAAGCGGGTGCGAGGGGAGAGAGTGGAGGATGGCACTGTAACGGTGGACAGGCCCCTGTACGAGGTACAAGGATGTTACAATAACGGTACCAAAGGGTTTGTACGAGGTATGGGGGATGGGCGCGGATGGTACTATAGAGATAGGTAGGATGGCAATGTACCACCAGCGGCTGGCCACCGTGAGAGGCTATGGGGATGGTACTATAACGGTGCATAGCATAGCATTAGACTACGTGGTTTTGTGGGTGGCACTAAAACGGTGGGAAAAGCTGCCTGAGGGTTCAGTTGTCTGTTTGGTCTGCTTCTCGGTGTTGCTGGGTTCTGTTGTAGATGCATCTGCAGCTTTCTGCTCTCCTTGCTGTTCCCCTTGATGCTCCCCTTGATGCTCCCCTTGATGCTCCCCTTGATGCTCCCCTTGATGCTCCCCTTGATGCTCCCCTTGCTGTTCTCCTTGATGCTCCCCTTGCTGCTCCCCTTGATGCTCCCCTTGATGCTCCCCTTGCTGCTCCCCTTGATGCTCCCCTTGCTGCTCCCCTTGATGCTCCCCTTGATGCTCCCCTTGCTGCTCCCCTTGATGCTCCCCTTGCTGCTCCCCTTGCTGCTCCCCTTGATGCTCCCCTTGCTGCTCCCCTTGCTGCTCCTCCTGTCCGGATCACTGCGTCGTGTGTCCGATTCAGCTGATCTGATTTTTGAGGCGCCTCAAAAGCCGATTCAGCTGATCTGATAGCCGGCTGCACAGCCTTAAAGCTGACGATCGTTCATCCCCAGTGTTGGAAGTGTGTCTACCAATCACCACCATCCATTCCAGATTCTGAGAGACCAGAAGGAGACGAAGGAAGCTGAGCACGAGGAGAAGGCTTTTGAGCCGACTCAAAGGCTTCTGTGTTGGATTTGTTTCTACCGTGGTTCCAGATTCTTAGGGAGCAGAAGGAGAAGAAGGAAGCTGAGCACAAGGAGAAGTTTAAAAACCGTAAGCCAAAAGCATTTGGTGTAGTCATAGCCAGGGCGCAGTAACCATCTTTGTAACACTATGCCAGCGCAGCAGAGGGAGAGTAGCACTCCGCACATAACGCCATACATTGGTTTGTTTGAATTATTGTTTTTGTAACATGAAAGTAAGTTTTTCCTCTTCGCTGCAGCCCACCCTGACGCTTAATGGCAACATGCGATGGAATCACTCCATTTCGCCCATTCCAAGCCCATTCTGCTCACGCTTGTTTCGGATTTGCTGGTATTTGTTGTGTTGTTTCTCTACCCATCAGGCCCACCAAGGGCGTTGGACGAGGTGTTGCTGCTTGGGCGTTGGCCCATCAGACGCTGGATGCCTCAATTGCTACCACATGTCTCGAACGCTCACACATGTGGAGTCCATTTTTGAGGCGCCTCAAATATAAACGTTCATGCATCAATCAAACGCCGTCTTCATCAATCATGCTTCAATCATGCTTCAATCATGCTTGTGTTCTGTTTCTATTTCGACCACCAGGCCCCCCACGAGCACTAGACGAGGACGAGCTTGAATTTCTTGAGGCTGTCGCTCAGGTCAGTTCTCCTTAAACAGTCTTACGGGTTGTTTGAAGCAGTTTAGAAACCATTCCCCCCCCCCCTAAAAGGTCGAACTTAATGCGGGTTAGTTAGTTGGTTGAAAAACTAGCAATGCTCAGTTCTTCCGGGTGGTCCACAAGCTTGCTCTGTGCATTCGTCTGACTTTTCAGGGTGTTTTTGAGAATTCTCAAAAACACCCTGCAATATCAATGCTCAGTTCTTCCCGGTGGTCCACAAGCTTGCTCTGTGCATTCACCTGACGTCCGCACACGTGGGCCAAACAAGTGCGTGAGTTGCCTATCCCGTGTGTGCTTTTGTGACTCACAGAAGCAAAGAGAGGATGAGAAGGAGAAGGACGACGAGGACAAGCGAGCACTCACTGAGTTCCAGGTGCGAGCCTTAGCTCCCTGACTTCAAAAATGACTTCAATGGCTAGCATGCCTTAGCTCCTGCGCATGCTAGCCGTTGAAGTCATTTTTGAGAGTTCTAAAATAATGATTCCAGGTGTGTGCATTGCCCTTGCGCATGCTAGCGTTCGGTATATGCCATGCTTTGTATGCATCACCTCATGTTACCCATTCCACCCATCATTGACCATCACCCAGGCTGCATTCCTGAGCCGAGCAGTCCCTGATGACACGCATGCTGCTCCTGATGCGACTTCGTGGCGCCTATAACATCCTTCCATGATTAGTTTTGAGGCGCCTCAAAACTAGACTTCGTGGCGCCTATAACATCCTTCCATGATTAGTTTTGAGGCGCCTCAAAACTAGACTTCGTGGCGCCTATAACATCCTTCCATGATTAGTTTTGAGGCGCCTCAAAACTAGACTTCGTGGCGCCTAAAAATCCTTCCATGATTAGTTTTGAGGCGCCTCAAAACTAGACTTCGTGGCGCCTAAAACATCCTTCCATGATTAGTTTTGAGGTGCCTCAAAACTAGACTTCGTGGCGCCTAAAACATCCTTCCATGATGGACTATCACCCAGGCAGCTCTTCTGAGCGGAACAGTCATCGCTGGCGGCCATGCTGCTTCTGCCCCGTTGGCGGCCATGCTTCTCCTGCCCCGTTGGCGGCCATGCTTCTCCTGCCCCGTTGGCGGCCATGCTTCTCCTGAAACAGCGCCGTCACAATCGTCTTGCTCTCCTGGCTTCGTGTGTCACTCCTTCCACTTCACCTTTTCACATTCTTGACCCCTCTCCGTACAGGCCGCACTCTTGAGCCGAACAGTCACCGTCGATTCCCATTCTGCTCCCGAGACGGCACCGCCCTCGCAAGCATCTGCCCCCTCTGGCTCTTCTGGCTCGTCCCTGGTGGCTACTATTCGGAAAAGAAAGGAGCCGGATCTTCCTCTCATTCCTCGCATGGGAGTCAAGGTCCAGCTCAAGGCGAAGCCAAAGGCTAAGGCAGGTGCTCCAGCTCCCCAGTCCAAGTCTAATGTTAGTAACTCTCCAAAAGCTCTTAGTAGAGGTTTGGATGGAACTAATAGTACTGTAGAAGATGCTTCTATTACTTGTGGTCAAGGGAAGGGGAGTGGTGAAGAGGACGAGGCAACAAGACAGAAGCAGAAAGTTATGAGAACCAGGGATGTGGAAAGTGAGAAAGATGGAGGATCTTTGGTTGGTAGTTTGGGGCTTGGAGCATATGGTAGTGATGATGATGATGACGAAGACAATGAATAAGCGGCTAGTCCATTGTGTTTCTTTTGTGGCTTTTTTTTTGCATAATCATCGTTCAATTACAAGTGGGCCTGGTTAAGTAGCATGTTTACAATGAAAGCTTGGGTATAGGTGCTGATCTGGCCCTCTAAACTCTCCAGTATTCCTCTCTAATGCCGAAGCACCAAATATCGAGTGGAACACTCCAAGTGGCCCCATTTTCCCGCAACCTTTGGATTGGAGCCTGATCGTGTGGTTCACCTTCAACGCCACACTCCCATCGGCCCAATGTGCTGCGGCCGACACTCTCGGTGGGCGAATGTACCTGTGCCAAGATTCGAGCTTCTGGTTCATTCTGAAAGTTACAGATTTCGAACAGTGCTTGCTCAGTTCAAGATTCCATCCAACCATCACCAATGGCTGGTCTGTTTGGTTCGTTTCGGTACAGTACCAGGGCTAGTGGGAGAAGTCGGGCCGTTTGGACACGTCACGCTACACGGCTGAATTTCGAACCTCGGGTTGAGAACTACAAATGGGTGGAAGATGTTTTAGAGGCTTATCAAACTATTTTGATGAGGTAAGCCGTGGTTCTCTTTCTCCTTCAAATCGTTGAACTTCGTTCAAGCCAAAAAGCCGCCGCCCCCCCTCAGGCCAGTTCTTCCAGGCTTTCACCAAACGCTGCTCCGCAGGGCTGCCTCCCTGCAATTCTCAAGGGCTCCATTGCTGCCTGTGGTTCTGAAGGTGAAGGCCTGCATTTTGGCACAAAATTCCAGTTTTCCCTGGGAAGTCCCGAGGCAGAAAGTCGTCCTTTTTCAAGAGGTGGTGTGGTGTGGTGGCCATTCCACGTTTATTTATTCGCGCTGCGACGGGCGTGTTGGAGTAGTAGTTGCATGTAGGGTGGTTTAACTTTCAATACTTTTCATTAGAACAACCAACTCGACTCGGCTCTTACTTTTTGCACTTCAGTTCCAATATTAGTATTTAACTCGGCGGCCGTAGATAGTTCGGCGCTGACACGTTTCTAATCCACTAATTGGTCGTGGTAGTGGTTGATTAACTGATTGTGACAGTTACGTCAGTTGCCGACTCATTGTTTCCGTTTTTACATCGCAACGTTGCTCGCCTTTGTTTAAGCTGGTGATTCATTCTTTAGCCGCCTAGAAAACCGCCTCTATCCGCAGTGATTAGTAATATGTTTATGCGCCTCAGAAACCGACAGTTATTGCCGTCATGAATCATCATCACGTGCAGCGGCGGCCGGCAAGCCAGCATGACACCCGCAGCTCATGGAACGAGCACCTGCAGCAGCAGCAGCAGCAGCAGCACCACCACCACCAACACCTGCAGCAGCACCACCACCACCTGCAACAGCAGCAGCCGCAGCAGGAGCATAGCCATTACCAGCAGCCGCTTTTGTCGCCGCAACACCCGCAATACCCGCCGTTAGTGTCGCCGCAGTACCCGCCGACTTTGTCGCCGCAATTCCCGTCGCCACAGCAGCATGCGCAAGCGCAAGAGCTTCCCTGGGACCATAGCGACAACGTTCCCGTCGCTCCCGTTATCGCACTCCCTGGTAACCACCTGAGCGTCTCAGGTAACCATGGTGGTAACCACCGCCGGTCGCGGTCCATGGGAATGGGGGCTATGGGGATGGGAGCGACGGGCGTTGCGCCTGACTTTCTCGCGCAGATTGGAGCGGCGGGGCAAGTCCCGCTAGGCCCCGCGGGGGCAGGGAGAGGCGCGCATCCTGCGCCTGCGGGGAGGGGGGAAGGGGTGGCGCAGGGGAGAAGTTCCGCCGAGATCGCGCGAGTAGGGGGGGATATGCACGGGCGGGGAAGAGGGAGAGGCATGGGCGGAGGAGTTAGCGGCCGAGGGGAAGGCGAGAGGGGGAGAGGCGGAGGAGGGGGGGAAGCAGGGGAGATAAGCGGACAGGCAACGAAAGGGAGCGGGGGGAACGTAGACAGTATTGACCCTCGTTTTAAGCCCAAGTTTATAAAATCCGGGGGGCGGGTGTGGGAAATGTTTTCGGGACCGTCTGTTAATATTCTAAGGAGAGAGGACGACGCGGATCTGCCGCCAGAGGAGTTAGCCGCCATGGTTTCCACGCCTGTTGCGAAGCCCTTGCGCCATAGGCGCACCAAGTCCGCCTTCCCCGCGGATTCCGCGCAGTTCCTGCAGGAAATGGACTTCCGCGGAGGGGAAGGGGGGAACGGATTTGGGGAAGGAGGCGACGGCGGAGGGGGAGCGGGAACAGGGTTCGGAGGCGGGGATGGCGGAACGGGAGCGTGGGGCGGCGGAGGGGGAGTTGGGGGCGGAGAAGCAGGCGGAAGAGGGGTTGGGGGGGTTGTTGTTGGGAGGGGGAGCGGGGCAGCGGGCGCGCAGAGACTGTTAGCGTCAGCAGGGGGAAGGCGCGCATCCCTTGACGGCGGGGGGAGGATTCCCCCTTCTATTCCCTCCTCCTTCTCGGATCCTTCCAATCCGATTCCGCCACGTCCGCTAAGGCACCACTCTATGGACCTCTCTAGTAGTGGTTACAGTAACAATAGCTATGGTGGTGGGAGTGGGGGGGAAGGGTCTGGCGGTGGTGGTGATCTAAGCAGAGGCAGCGGAAGGGAGGGGGAGAAACAGCAATGGGGTTTGGGGAGGGAAGGGGGAAGGGATGCGCTGGGGGGTGGTGCGGGCAATGGGATTGGCGGAGGGCCTGGTGGCGGGGGGATAGGGGGGGGAGGGTTGGGGCGGGGGGGAGCAGCACGGGGGCAGGGCAGTGGCAGGGAGAGGGGCGCTCAATCCCCTCTAGGGCAAATCCGCGAGCATGGGGACGATAACGAAGAGGATAGTAACGAGAACTTGCAGGAGAAACTTCAGGGGAATAGTCAGGGGAAGTATGGGAGTGGGAATTATGCCTCAGGTCAAGCGAATGCCCTCCTCTCCCCCATGCGCTTGGGCGGAAGTCCCGGGGGGGGGTTCTCTGGGGGAGGGGGGGGAGAGGAGGGAGCGGAGCAGGGGGAGGGCGCGGGGGGCACGGTCACAGGCGCAGCCACAGTCTGCAGGCTCCAGGGGGCGGGGGCTTCGGGTTCTCTGGAGGCGTTGGGGGGGAAGGGGGAGCGGGGGGAGGCATGGGGGGAGGGGAATGGGCGGCGGGGAATTATCAGGCGGAGCAGGGGCAGGGGCAGGGGCAGTGGGGACAGATGCGAAGGCCTAGCACAGGGCAGACGGGCAGAGGCGGGGCCATGGGGGAAGGCGGGGTGGGGGGAGGGGGAAGAGGCGGAGGGAGGGGATGGGTCGGGGGAAGAGGCGGAGGGCAGAAGGGAGTCGGGGTAGCAGGAGGAAGGGGGCAGGGAAATGGTATGATGGGAGATGGAGCGTTGGCGGCGAGAGTAGGAGTGGAGGAAGGGCCAGGAGAGGAGGGAGGGGAGGAGGGAGGGGAGGAGGGAGGGGAAGTGGAGGATGGGAGAGTGTTGCCAGGGGAAGAAGAGGAGGATGAGGACGTTCCCGTTGCTCCTGTGTCTCCTGTTCCTGTACAGTGGGGTGCTTTTAACGCAGGGTTTAAGGTCCCGGGCGAAGGGGGGGAAGGAGAGGAAGTAGCAGGCGTGGGGCAGCAGCAGCAGCAGCAGCAGCAGCAGCAGCAGCAGCAGCAGCAGCAGCAGTTGAGTGAGCATCAGTTGATGCTGAAGCGGCGGCACCAGCAAAACCAGCAGGCGTTGCAGAAGGAGCAGGAGAAGAAAGCGAGCGTTCAGGGGCAGCAGATGTTGCAGCAGCAGCCGCCGCACCAGGAGCAGCAGCAACAACAGCAGCAACAATACCAGCAGCAGCAGCAGCAGCAGAAGGGGCGAGTGGGGCACAGGAGGAGTCACTCCATGGGGATGGCTGGTGTGGCAAACTCTCTCCCTCACTTTCCTGACGTCTCTGAGCCAAGCCAGCCCATGCGGTTCTCACGGGCCATGGTGCTTGGCCTGCAGCAACAGCAGCCGCAGCAGCAGCAGCTATCTCAGCATGCTTATCAGCACAGCCAGCAACAGCAGTACAACCAGCACCAGGAGCTGCAGAACAACCAGCGGTACCAGCAGCAGCAGCAGCAGCAGCAGCAGCAGCAGGGGTGGCAGCAGCAGCAGGAGGGGCAGTTGGGGTGGCAGCAGGCAGCGTGGCAGGAGCAGCAGTTCGACGGACAGGAGGATAACGACCAGCAGGGGCTTTTCCGATCCTCCACCGCCCCGGCCAAGCCTGCAGGCCCGGCGAACGCTGCTGCTGCTGCTGGTGGCAGTGGTAAGGGATTGGACGGGCAGCCCATTATCAGCAGCAAGAGTTACACCAGCCCATCCAATCTTCACCCTCATTATAGTCACGCAGGAGGGAGGGGAGAAGGGGGAGGAGGAGGAGGAGGGAGAGGAGGGAGAGGAGAGGGAGGAGGGGGAGGAGTAGCAGGGGGAGTTGGAGCAGGGGGAGGAGGGGGAAGAGGGGGGGGATCGCAAGGCATGTCGCGACATAAGAGGACCATGTCTGCTAGTGCTGCTGCTGGGGTTGGTGGTGGCTTTGGCGGTGCTGCTGCTTGGGGTGGTGCTGGTGGTGGCATGTTTGCTGGTGGTGGGTTTCCTGCTGCTGTTGGTTCTGGTGGTGCTGGTTACCCTGCTGCTGGTAACACTGGTGCTCGTTTGCCGCCCCACCACTCCCCCCCTCGTCCAGGGGGGGGTGTTCCACTACCGCAGCAGCGCTCCCCACCCCACATGCACCACCATTCTCGCTCACACTCACACTCCGTCTCCCCTCCCAAACCCCACTCTCACTCACACTCTCACTCCGTTTCTTCCCCCAAGCCCCATTCCCCCTCACCCTCTCACTCACCCTCTCACTCACCCTCTCACTCACCCTCTCATTCACGCCCACCCTCTCACTCACACTCACACTCCCCTCCAAAGCCTCACTCTCACTCCCCCCGGTCCCCCCAACCCTTCCTCTCCCCACATTCCCCCATGCCCCCAAGCCCAGCTGGGGGAAGCTCAGGGGGGAGGGTGGCGGGGGGAGCTGGGGGAATGGGGGAAGTGGGGGGAGGGGGTAGGGGAGCAGGGGGAGGGGGAGTACCCCCCCGATCTTCCCCTTCTGGGCCCCCTAACAGTGCGTCAACTGCATGGGGGACGGGGGGAAGGGGAGCAGGGGGAGCAAGGGGGGTAGGGGGAGCAGGGGGAGCAGGGGGAGCAGGGGGAGCAGGGGGAGCAGGGGGGGCAGGGGGAGCAGGGGGGGCAGGGGGGGCAGGGGGAGCACATGGAGTGAGGGGGATGACTCAGGCGCATCAGGGCTACTCTGGTAGCAGTGCTGCTGCTGGTGGTGGCGCTGCTGCTGGTGCTGGTGGTGGTTTGAATGTGCTGGGTCGGCCGTTTCAGCATATATCGGAGCAGTTTATACTGAGTACGGAGGAGATAGGCAGGGGCAGATCGGGCAGTGTCACAATGTGTGTGCATCGGACAAGCAACGAGAGGCTCGCGTGTAAAACGATTCCCAAAGGCAGCCTGCAGGTATGATTCGTTTTAAGGTAATCTGGAGAGCTCTATACGGAGTATGAAGATATCCAACCGGGGCAGAATGGGTAGCTAGCGTCAGAAAGCGTGTGTGTGAGCATCGGATGAGACAACGAGAAACTTGCATGTAGACTGATTCCCAACGAAGGTTGCAGGTGCAATTTCTGGAGAGCTTTATACCGAGTATGACAATAGCTAGGGCAGACCGGGGAGCATCAGAGAGCGCTTGTGTGTGTGAGCATCCGATGAGCAACGAGAAACTTGTGTGTAGACTGATTCCCAAGGGGCAACACAACAGGGCCCTGCCTTGTTGTGTTGCCCTGCCTTGTTGTGTTGCCCTGCCTTGTTGTGTTGCCCTGCCTTGTTGTGTTGCCCTGCCTTGTTGTGCTGCCCTGCCTTGTTGTGTTGCCCTGCCTTGTTGTGTTGCCCTGCCTTGTTGTGCTGCCCTGCCTTGTTGTGTTGCCCTGCCTTGTTGTGTTGCCCTGCCTTGTTGTGTTGCCCTGCCTTGTTGTGTTGCCCTGCCTTGTTGTGCTGCCCTGCCTTGTTGTGTTGCCCTGCCTTGTTGTGCTGCCCTGCCTTGTTGTGTTGCCCTGCCTTGTTGTGTTGCCCTGCCTTGTTGTGCTGCCCTGCCTTGTTGTGCTGCCCTGCCTTGTTGTGCTGCCCTGCCTTGTTGTGCTGCCCTGCCTTGTTGTGCTGCCCTGCCTTGTTGTGCTGCCCTGCCTCGCAGAGTGAGGAGGAGGTGGCGGACATTGGGGGGGGAGGGAGGGGGGGAGGAGATAACACGCCTTAGGGGGCGTCTTGACACACATGGAGACCTTCCAGGATGCTTCTTCGCTCTCTTGCGTTTCCCTGTATTGCAGCGTGAGGAGGCGGCGGGTGTGAGGAGGGAGGTGGAGATAACTTGCCACAAGAAACGCCCTGATACATGTGCAAGGTTCCCAAGATGCTTTCTCCCTCCCTTGTGCTCTGCTGTCTGGCAGAGTGAGGAGAAGGTGGGAGACGTGAGGAGGGAGGTGGAGATTTCACGCTTTATAGGTCGCCCTTATCCACATAGAAGCTCCTTAAGACGCCTTTTCTTTCCCCTCTCTTGTGCGCTGCTGTCTGGCAGAGCGAGGAGGGGGCGGGGGACGTGAGGAGGGAGGTGGAGATATTGGAATCTATGAGGGGCCATCCGTGCTCGGTGCAGCTGCTGGCAGCCTTTGAGGACGAGGAGGTGAGAGGGGGAGGTAGGGGGGAAGGTGAGAGGGGGAGGTAGGTAGGGGGGGAGGTGAGAGGGGGAGGTGAGAGGGGAGGTGAGAGGGGGAGGTGAGAGGGGGAGGTAGGTAGGGGGGGAGGTGAGAGGGGGAGGTAGGTATGGGGGGAGGTGAGAGGGGGAGGTAGGCAGGGGGGAGGTGAGACGGGGAGGTAGGTAGGGGGGGAGGTGAGACGGGGAGGTAGGTAGGGGGGAGGTGAGAGGGGAGGTAGGTAGGGGGGGAGGTGAGAGGGGGAGGTGAGAGGGGGGAGGTGAGAGAGGGAGGTAGGTAGGGGGGGAGGAGAGAGGGGGAGGTGAGAGGGGGAGGTAGGTAGGGGGGAGGTGAGAAGGAGCAGAGTACACAAAGAGGGAGCTACGGGAAGGAGGTGAGTAGAGACGTGAGGAGGGAGGTGGAGATGTTGGAAGGGATAAGGGGGCATGCTTGCTCGGTGCAGCTGCTGGCAGCCTTTGAGGGCGAGGAGGTGAGGAGGAGGTAGGGGTGGGGGGTAGGTGAGTGGGGACGTGCGAGGGGGATGAAGATAACCCGGATTACACACACTCTCTCCTCTCTCATTCGTCCCCCCCCCCCCACCCTACCCCCTGCAGGTCGATTTTTGAGGCGCCTAAAAAATAGACCCCTCTCTCATTCGTCCCCCCCCCCCCCTATCCCCTGCAGGTCGTGCACCTAGTCATGGCAGTGTGTGTGTGAAGGGGGGGGGGGACCGATGGCAGCAGGTTAAGCAGCAGCGATCTCACTCCCCTCCCTCCCTCTGCTTTCCCGCTTCCCCCCTCTCCCCCCCCTGCAGGTAGAGCGTCTAATCATGGCCGTATGTGTGTGAAGGGGGGGGGGAGGACTTATGGCAGTGGGTGAAGCTTTGGTGAACTCACTCCCCTCGCTCTGCTCCGCCCACCCAACCCCCTGCAGGTCGTGCCGTGTGTGTGTGAAGGTGGGGGGACCTATGGCAGCGGCCCGCGGGTGAAGCAAGGCGGGCAGCTGCCATAGGTCCCCACCTTCACCCATAGGTCTCTTTCCCCATGGGGAAAGAGGGGCGGCAGCAGTGACGAGGCGGCTGGGGGGGCTGGGGGGCATCGTGCACGCTCTTCCCCCCTTCCATACCTTCATGCTCACCCCCCTCCCCCAATCTCACCTCCTCTTCTTTTCCCTTCCTGCGAACCTGCATTATGCACATCTGGTGATGGGCCTGTGCGAGGGCGGGACCTGTGGCAGCGGGTGAAGCAGTGTTGATCTCACTCCCTTCCCTCCGCTCTGCCCCCCTCCTTCCGCTCTGCCCCCCTCCTTCCACTCTGCCCCCTCCCTCCCTTTCGCCCTGTTCAGTTTGTGCACCTGGTGATGGACCTGTGCCAGGGAGGGGACCTGTGGCAGCGGGTGAAGCAGTGGCGATCTCACTCCCTTCCCTCCGCTCTGCCCCCCTCCTTCCGCTCTGCCCCCCTCCTTCCACTCTGCCCCCTCCCTCCCTTTCGCCCTGTTCAGTTTGTGCACCTGGTGATGGACCTGTGCCAGGGAGGGGACCTATGGCAGCGGGTGCAGCAGGGGGGGGCGTATGGGGAAGGAGAGGCGGCAGCAGTGGTGAGGCGGCTGGTGGGGCTGCTGAGAGACCTGCACGCTCAGGGCATCATGCACCGGGATGTGAAGCCAGAGAATGTGCTTCTAAGGAGGGAGGATGATGATGCGGATATTGCCATCATCGACTATGGAGTGTCTGTGTTCTTCAATCCAGGTGGGTGGGTTGGCTGGAATGGGTGTGAGGTGCCTTAGATCAGATCACACACTCGGGGCTTCATGCACCGGGATGTGAAGCCAGAGAATTTACTTCTAAGGAGGGAGGATGACGACACTGATATTGCCATCATTGACTATGGGGTCTCTGTGTTCTTCAATCCGGGTGAGCTTGTTGTTTTGGATGATCCAAGGTGCGTTAATTTTGTAGGGTGTTTTTGAGAATTCTCAAAAACACCCTACAAAATCTAAAACACGCTCAGGGGGTCTTCAGGCGGCTGGTGGGGCTGCTGAGAGACCTGTGCGCTCAGGGCATCATGCACCGGGATGTGAAGCCAGAGAATGTGATTCTAAGGAGGGATAATGACGATGCGGATATTGCGGTTATCGATTATGGAGTGTCTGTGTTCTTCAATCCAGTGGGTTTGCAAATTTTCGTTGGATAGATGGAGCAAGTGGGTGTTTGCTTCGTTATTGCTCCAAAACTTACACAAACAACAGGGATGAGGGCAGGTGTGGTTCACCTGCCACAGCTCCCTTTCCCCCACCCTCACTACCCCCTTTACAGGCGAAACGTTTTCTGAGATCGTAGGCTCTCCCTTCTACATTTCTCCGGAGGTGCTTCACGAATCCTACGGTCCAGAATCCGACATCTGGGCGGCCGGAGTGATCCTGTTCGTCCTTTTGTCGGGAGCACTTCCCTTCTGGGGGGACTCAGACGAGGGCGTGTTCCGGGCAATATTGGAGAGGAGTGTGGAGGAGGAGGTGGAGAGAGAGGGAGTGTGGGAGAGTGTGTCTGAAGAAGCGAAGGATCTGGTGTTGCGCATGCTGACAAGAGACGCCGCCCTCAGAATCTCGGCGGACGAGATTCTTGGTAAGGAGGTGCATTGGAGAACGCACTATTCTGTTGCTTCAATGATGTTGCTGGCAATGCTACGCCGTTTGGACGTTTTCTGACCTTTCCTGGCCCTCTTTTTCTTGCCCCCATTTATTTCTTCCCGTTGATCCGTTTGATCCCCTCCCCTCCCCTGCCTCTCGTCAGAGCACCCATGGCTCCAAGATAACAACTAACCTGCGCAACTCATGCAATTCAAGCAATAGGTGCCTTTTAGCGTTAAGTTGACAGCCGGTGCCAATCCTTTGAAAGCAGCCTACATGCCGATTCGTTTGTCATTATTAATGGTATCTTCTTTATATTTTCATTTTAATTATTGACGACATTTTTAGTACTGCTGTAACTCAATATTGTAAGGGGCTCTTTTCCGAAATCGAAACAGTCAAGCCATTTGCCACTCCACCGACACCCATTCACACTACCGCGTATGACCGTCCACCTCCTTTGCTGAATACAGCATGGTACGCCCATCACTGAGAGTTTTCGCTCAACAACTCAGCCGAACAGCAGACCAGCCAGACCTAGATATTGCCGAGCCGTGCTCCAGAAACGCGCCCGATCATAGATTTCGCCGTGTCCGAGAGAAAAGCCTAGATAACGCCGTAAATGGGGAAGAGCCTCGATCAAGTCCCATGAACAATCCGAGCATCGATAATTTCGGCCAAGTGCCACGTCTTTTCTGGCAGGAAAATAACTAAGAGAGCTCCGTTGGTCACGGCAAAAGGGGCTCTTGAAAGCCGTCCATCTCGCGCAATTCCGCCGCGTCCTGCGGTTTAGCCAGGTCGAGTTTCCAGTCACGGCGTTATGATAAACGTGTATGTGGTAGCCTGCTGGTTGCACGGGCTACGCGTTATTCTTCTTTCGGACTACTCTTTAATCTCCTGTCGCTGCCTCGCTTGTTCCCATCGGTCATCGTCTCACACCTTCACGCCACGCCTAATCCTGTCACACACGTCTCTCTAGCTTAGTCGATTAATCTCCTCTCCGCAATGAACGGACGGTCTTACCGGACGGGTATACGCGCAGTCGTCTTCCTCCTCCTGCTCTCGTGCCGCGTGCCAGCGTCTCATGCGTCCACAGCCGGCCTTATCTGCGGGCGGAATGACGACTACCTCGGCCAATCCCTCCCTCGCTCTTTCTTCGAGACCCACGCTGATGTGGAGCCAACGGGCGCCACGTCAGCTCCAGCGCAGGAGCAGCCACTTAGGAGAGTACGACATCGCGGGATTCGAACCCTGCGTAAGTGGGACAGGCGCTTAGCTAAGTGCGACTACGACATGATGGAATTCAAACCCTGCGTAAGCGCGTCTAAGAAAGGAGCAAGGATATTCAGAAACGCTTATGTAAACAATGCTTTTAACTTTTTTCAATTCGGGACGCACGTACCCTAGCTAAACTATATACCGAATCATCCTCATATTTTAGTCGACTTCATAGCGTACTCTAGCTGAGCTCCATGGGTAGTTATCCTCGTCATGAGCAGGCCGCCGTGTAGGTTTTTGGTTCGGTTTTGAGACGTCTCAAAGCCGCCGTGCAGGTTTTTGGTTTGGCTCAAGGCGGAAGAGTGGGGAGAGGGAGCGATGCACTACAGGCTGATATCCCAATACCCCCTGTTTTCCCGTTCCCCCCACTCCCCCTTTCCCTCCCCCCTTCCCCCCCCTCTCCGATCAGTCTCCCATGCAACACGCTACACCAAGCAGCAGTTGCCGCAGCGGTCCGTTCTGAGGCGAGTGGGGGAGGGAGCGATGCACTACGAGCTGGAAAACGTGTGCATCCATGCGCGGTTCAAGGGAGGGGTGACATTGCACCGAGTAGAGGGTATGGAGGTGAGTTCGCAAGTGTGGGAATCTCCTATAGCACGTACAGGATTTGCACTATGAATTGTAAAGCGTGTGCATCCATGCGCGGGTAAGGGAGGGGTGACTCTCCGCCGAGTAGAGGGTATGGAGGTGGGTACACGTGCGGTTGAATATATTGGGTATGGAGTTTTGGGTACACGTGCGGTTGAATATATTGGGTATGGAATTTTGTGTACACTTGCAGTTGAATATATTGGGTATGGAGTTTTGTGTACACTTGCGGTTGAATATATTGGGTATGGAGTTTTGGGTACACGTGCGGTTGAATATATTGGGTATGGAGTTTTGGGTACACGTGCGGTTGAATATATTGGGTATGGAATTTTGTGTACACTTGCGGTTGAATATATTGGGTATGGAGTTTTGTGTACACTTGCGGTTGAATATATTGGGTATGGAGTTTTGTGTACACTTGCGGTTGAATATATTGGGTATGGAGTTTTGTGTACACTTGCGGTTGTATATATTGGGTATGGAGTTTTGTGTACACTTGTGGTTGAATATATTGGGTATGGAGTCGGGTGCACATGCCGTTGGGTGTATGCGTTTGGTTGTACCGTAATACGGCCGGTGGGGCGAGTGGGAGGGGGGAGCGATGATGAGTATATATATGGAACTTTCTATAACGCGTATAAGGTAATGGCCTGGCCCTGTGCATAACTGCAGGCGTTCCCTTCTCCCCCCCTATCCCATCACTTTTCCCTTCCCCTTCTATCTGTCAGGGCGATGGCTTTCCCCTATGCAACGAGGCAGGTTGCTACACCCTTCCATTATCTTATCTATCTCCTTGTTTCTCCCGTCTCCCTCTCCCTTCACTTCCCCTCTCACCAATTCCCTCTCTCCCTTCCCCTTCTGTCTGTCAGGGCGATGGCTTGCCCCTATGCAACGAGGCAGGTTGCTACACCTTTCCAGTCACACGCACCAATGACAGGCTGCCAGGTGGCAAGCGGGGCCACAACGGATGGATAGAGGACGCGACAGCTGTCATTCTCCCGCTCACGGCCGGCAATCCTTGGCATTTTCTGCATCACCTTGTCCCTCTGTCGCATGTGAGTGAGCGAGTGGGGGAGGGAGCGGGAAAGTGACAAATTGAGAGAAATGTCACGGGGCGCATCTCTTCCCAGTGTCTTGCTTTCACAACTCATTTTCCCGTTCCTGTTTTCTCTCCCTTACCCTTACCTGCTCTACTCCCAGATCCCCACAATCTGCAACAGCACCACGTATCTCTTCCCACGCCTTGCCTGCTGTTGTTGTAACCCGTCTGCTCCTAGCCTCTTTTCCCTGGGCCCCATCCCTGGCCCCATCCCCCTCTCAGCTGCTCTTCTCCCAGCGTCCCGCCATGCGCAACAGCACGGCGCATCTCTTCCCGTGCCTGGCCGGAGGGGCTGAGGGCATGCTCTCTCACCCTCTGCCCCATCTCCCTCCTGCCCTGCCCTGTCTGTCCCTCTGCCATCTCCCCACGCCCCTGTCCCCCAGCTCCTCTCGTCCCAGCGCCACACCATGCGCAACGACACGGCACATCTCTTCCCGTGCCTTGCGAGGGGGGCCGAAGACATGCTCGCTCACCCCTCCCACATGAATGGGGAGGGCATAAATCATGGGGAGGGGATACAGGAAGATGGTTCTTCTGCAAAAGAGACCGCACATGACATGCTCTCTCACCCTTCTGCACATGACATGCATAGTGGTGGCAGTCATCATACCCACGACACCCATGCCCATGCCCACACAACTCCGCAATTTACTGTGCCACCCAGTGATTACTTCTCGCCACGCCACTTCCCCTGGTGGCCACTGCTCGCTGCTGCCGCCCCTCCAGATATGACCGTCTATCAGGTTTGTGCTCAGGTTTTCTAAGTGTGCTTGCGTAGGGTTTAGTTTTGAGATGCCTCAAAACTACTGCCGCCCCTCCAAATATGAACGTCTATCAGGTGCGGTGCTCAGACTTGTAAGTGTGCTTACGTAGGGTTTCTTCTATCCAGGTGTTTTCTCAGGTATGTCACGTCTTTCTCCAAACATGCTCTGTCAAGTCAAGGTAACACAAGGTAGTTTTGAGCGCATCGAAACTCACACCTCGAGATGCGCTTTTTCTACCTTTTGTTGTTACACTCCCTTGTGCCCCCTTGCTTTTCTACCTCAATGTTTTTTTTTTTTTTTTTTTTTTCCTGTTCGGTTCAGCTTCAATCATCCCTTCGTCCTTTTTCTTCTATGCCCCTACCTCTTCCCTCCTCTTCTCCCTCCTCTTCTCCCTCCTCTTCTCCCTCCTCTTCTCCCTCCTCTTCTCCTCCTCTTCTCCCTCCTCTTCTCCCTCCTCTTCTCCCTCCTCTTCTCCCTCCTCTTCTCCCTCCTCTTCTCCCTCCTCTTCTCCCTCCTCTTCTCCCTCCTCTTCTCCCTCCTCTTCTCCCTCCTCTTCTCCCTCCTCTTCTCCCTCCTCTTCTCCCTCCTCTTCTCCCTCCTCTTCTCCCTCCTCTTCTCCCTCCTCTTCTCCCTCCTCTTCTCCCTCCTCTTCTCCCTCCTCTTCTCCCTCCTCTTCTCCCTCCTCTTCTCCCTCCTCTTCTCCCTCTCCTCTTCCCTTCTCCCTCCCTCCACACTAGGGGACAAAAGGTGAATCAAATCGAGAACATCCCCCGCGATTTAATAAGAATCAAATCTCGCCGCCGCCTCACCTCCCAGCATCACACTGACAGGGGCACACTGATGACAGTGGCACAAGTAGCAGCAGCAGCAGCCAACCGCTCCTCCCCCTTCCTCTGCTACCGGCACGCCTTCCTCGGTCTGCCCCCGGCCTTCTCCCCTGGGAGCTTGCTGCAGAGGAGGCCGCCCCTGCTTCCACGAGAGGCGTTTCGTGAGTTCAGAAGGCGGGCTCTGGAGCTGGCTGGAGTGACAGAGACCAGGTGAGATGCATTCCTCCCTTCCTCCACTCCCCCTCCCCCCCTCTCCCCACCAACCGCTCCTCCCCGCTCGTCTGCTACCGGCACGCCTTCCTGGGTCTGCCCCCGCCCTTCTCCCCTGGAGGCGTTTCGTGAGTTCAGGCAACGGGCTCTGGAGCTGGCTGGAGTGATAGAGAGAAGGTAAGACACATGTTGGTTGGTGAATGAAAAACCGTCATCTTACAATACCCGGTAATACGGGTAGCAGCAGGAAAGAACTAGTCAGCAGACGCCAAGCGCAGAAGCTAACAAGCCATCTTTCACTCTTTCTCACCACTCACCCCTTTCCTGTCAACCTCTTCCCCTTCCCCGCTCCCTCTTGCTTTTCCCCTCTCTCGTCTTTCTCCTCTTATCTCGCCTTCTACCCTCCAGGTCTTACTCACTCCTTTCCTCTCCACCTCTTTCCCCTGCCTCACCCCCTCTTGCCTCTCCCCCTCATCTTTCTCCTCTTATCTCGCCTTCTACCCTCCAGGCCCCACTCTCCCAGTGTGCAAAAGCCACAGTCAGCCACTCAACCTGCTCCTCCAGAATCCTCCACCACCCTTGGATCAGCTGGCGTCTTTCAACCAGAACCGTTGGATCTCCCGC